AATTCTTCAAAACAGGAAAACTGTGTTTCAAACTGACGACCACAGCGTTGTTCCACCACAGAGGGAAAAACCAGTCGTGACATCTTTGAGCTAATTTCTCAAGTTGACTCACACAGAGGGATTTATGTCTGTTTCCAAACATGAGCAGATAATCATGTATTTACAGTATTATTGATCCAGCTGGTCAATCAATGACAGACAACACCAGGTAAAGTGTTTTAATAATATTAAGAAGGTGAATTCATACTTTGAGTGATTCTTCCACCTTATTGGCTGGTTCATCCAAACTGAGCCAGAAGTCAGAAGGTATGAACGTTTACAAGCTACAACTTTCTACTCTTGCTGCAATATCACATATTTATAGATAAATGAAAAGATTAACTGCTGTTTTCACACCAGCAGCAAATCAGTGAACACCACAATCACATGATGTGTGTTATTATTCACTGAGTGAACTAACACGACCAAAATAAAACGACCTCTAATCCATCGGTCAGGTGAGATTATTTTAGCCAGCGCTGCAAGAAACACGTATTACTCCAGTGTGGCCTGTGGCACCTGTGAACTACACCTGCGACAGTTATGTGGCATCATTGTGACACAGCTCGAACCAACTGATCCACCGAGTCGCTGCACAGATGATCGAAGGGGAAAGAAAACAAAGCGCCTCACCTTAAACTCCTGCAGTTTGCACATGACCACGGGCATTTGTCGAAGCAGCAGGGGGTGTTTCTGCTTCTTCATTTGATTTCCATCATCCTCTGCAAAGAACCAGCCCTGCACATTGTCCTCCTCTGACACACACACACACACACACACACACAGTTCAATGATGTGAAGGAACTGTGACACAGCTTCCTCGCTCTAAGATATCTGAGCAACTACTAGGCAGTAATTTATAAAACAGATTTAACATTGCATATCGAATATTTACGATTAATAAAATGAACGATCATCATGTATAAATGCAGAATAAAACAAAGTAAGAGAGGGCTGCAGGTCAACTGTACCAAGAGCCAGCTTCGCCATCTGCAAGTTGCTGATCCATGACTGTTTGATGGCTG